TATTTATTTTTGAGACAGAGCATGAATGGGGGAGGGGCAGAGAGAGAGGGAGACACAGAATCAAGCAGGCTCCAGGCTCCGAGCCATCAGCCCAGAGCCCGATGCGGGGCTCGAACTCACGGACCGCGAGATCGTGACCTGAGCTGAAGTCGGACGCTTAACCGACTGAGCCACCCAGGCGCCCTACAATTCTTTTTTTATACAGTGACTCAAGTTATCACCGAGACTCTGCAGAGTAGGTAAACATCAGTCCCTCGGAAGTGAACTCACAAACCCTTGTTTTCTCAATATTTGCTTCTTTCAGCCATGGGCTTGGCAGCGTTGGAAGTCATGCAAGCTGTACAGCGTACGTGGACCAACTCGAAAGTTCGAATGAATGGGAAAACACGGCTGATGCAGTGGAGAGACATGTTTGACATTGCAGTAAAGTGGAGACGGTAACTAATTAAACTCGTGTTTAAATGGAAATAAACTAGAAGGGTTATCATTGTAAAATAATAGAAGGCTCCTCTGGGTAACAGGTGTCTTTGGCTAGTGGAGCCGACATGAGGTATCATGCGAGTCTAGGCACATCTGTACATTGCGCTGTGTTCACCACAGATGTAGCTCCCGTCTGCCCCACACAACACCGTTATAGTAGGACTGACTGTGGTCCTTACGCTGTACCTTGCACCCCCATGACATATTCATTCCATTACTGGGAGCCTGCCCCTCCCACTCAGTCGACGGGTTTCGAATTCTGTTTTGATTACTAACACTATGCCTTGTAAGTTACTTTTTCCTCTCTACAGTTTGTTGGAAATTGCTGGCATCATTCTTTGAAACGCCTTCGGCCGATGTTTACAAAATACAGGAACTGACTGCTCTCAAGTTTCCAAGCACATTTTTAAGCGAAGTGTTTTAGACAAAGCAGTCTCTTGGAAAGAACGCATTATCTGGGGTGTACCTTTGAATGAACTGTAGTGTACTGGTCCCTTGATAGTTGAAGTGTGTGCCTGGCTAACCAGCTATGGCTTAGGGGGGAGCTACTGATACTCATTGACATGAGAAAAATACTACTCTTCTAGTAAACCTGTACTGACTTCCTACTGGCTCCAATTGGAACATTTATTTGGAGTTAGCAGGTTGGTGTGGCATACTTTTAGATAATGGGCCGAGTACTTGCTTTCTCCCCACTCTTTGCAAAGACTCATCCTGTTTCATTGGTAATGCTTTTGAACATTTCTAGGTTGTATAAGGCCTCCATCTTTAACAAGCTCTGGTTTACAGGATTGCTGACCCAGACCAGCCGGTGCTGTGGTTAGATCAGATGCCAGCACGAAGTCTTAGCAGAGGTTTTAACAACCACATCAATTTAATCAGGTAAGAACCCTTTGTGCATCTTTCCTGTTTGCACAGGAGTTTGTTCTAAATAGACAGGTCATGGAGACCGTGGACGAACGACCCTTGATCCTCTCCCGGGGACTTTTTGAAAAGGGCCCACACGGATTAGTTCTGTACCTGCAGGGTCCCGCCTACACTCCTTAGAGTGAGTCCAGCTGCAGGAAGAATGCAGCGCGTGCCATGTTCCCTCTCCAGTCTCTCCTCTTAGGGAGAGACTGTGTGATAATTCAGGTGAACAAGTGTGCAAGGGAGGGGGAGCAGAAGAGACGGAGGAGAGAGTGCAGAATCAGGAGCACTGGCGCCAGGTTGGAAATGGAGGAGAGCGTAGGGACCCACGGGGAGGCGGTCCCCTCTCTGGCTCAGGTGCGAGGTCCTTCCAATAGGCCAGGTGACAATAGGACAGAAAGGAGATGGCCACATTTGGGGGCTGGCGCTGGGGGGGAAGTGCAGGGTACGGGAGTGACTTCCTGTGCACGGTTACGAACCTGGGGTTTGAGATGTCTGTAGGGAATCTGGGGAGCGATGCCCAGGGAGCGGTTGGGTGTGTAACACGTTGTACACACGCATGCCGGTTGGATGTGTCCATCAGTATGTCGGCTGTACATGAAGTTCTGGGAGAGAGTTTGAAAACTAGGAGGCGGGGACAGAAATGTGAGTAAAATTTATTTATTTATTTCATTTTTGAGAGAAAGAGAGACAGAGCGCTAGCAGGGGAGGGGCAGAGAAAGAGAGGGAGACACGGAATCCAAAGCAGGCTCCAGGCTCCTAGCTGTCAGCCCAGAGCCCGACGCCCGGCTCGAACCCATGAACCACGAGATCGTGACCTGAGCTGAAGTCGGACACTTAACCGACTGAGCCACCCAGGTGCCCTGAGTAAAATAATATTTAGAGTGGGCAGAGGAGATGAAGCCTGTGTGTGAGCTGGACCATAGGAGAACTACCAGGAGAACCAAAGGAG